ATAGTACGCTGATGAAATGTCACACTTGCTTCATTGTAATGTATGATATGATTCTCGTGTGCCCTGGTATGATTATTTTGTGCTATATTGTGGTAATATCTTATCTCTTATGCTATCCTCTTCTATGAAATATTGTGTCATATAGTTGTATCATTTTGTGTCAACAATACTAATGTAATTATGTGTCAAATAACAATATAATTTATGTCATGCAGTACCAATATAATTATGTGTCAAATAGCAATATCATTTTGTGTCATGAAGTACTAATACGATAATTTGTCATATAACAATATCATTTTGTATCGTTTTGTATCGTAAAGTGTCGGATGCTACCGTACAAGATCGTACATTCATAGCATGTGATGTTGTATGTCTCTCTGTGGGTAAGATTCACAAAAAATCCAGACACTCTAATGTTGTGTTGAGTTTTCCAGTGATGTGTGCGTGTGCGTGTGCGTGTGTGTTGGTGTGTGTATAGGAAAATGACGATGAATAAGTCGATTCAAATAACAATGGACGATAACAAACAAAGGGAAAAATTACAAAGGAAAGTGAGAGAAATGAAGACAGAAAAAATATAGGTGACAGAGAGAGAAAAATAGAACCAAAACAAAGAAGAAGAAAAAGAAGACAAACAACAACAGCAACAATCCAAAATGAAAACAGCTTAAACATTTTTTTCCAGAATATATAAACAACAATACTGAAAACCCGCATGCTAAAAATATGAAGAACATATCGATGAAAAAATCCAAGAGATTTATAACTCTCCTGTTAATGGCTGCCTCTGTCTGTCTGCTTTTTTGGAGGAGAAGGTAAAGTTAAGTGTGACCCCCCCCCCTTTTTTTAAGTTATTTTCAGGTTGTTGGGGATGAGGGGTCAAGGTGGGGAAATAGAAAGGGGGGGGGGTGAGGGGGTCAAAGTTGGGGAATGAGAGAGGAAGAGAGAATAAAAGTGGGGAAAAAGAGATGGAGATAAAATGAGAAAATAATATCTTTACGTATGAAAACTCTCCGATCTTATCTTTTGTTCTTTCTTTTTTTTATTTGATTATCTATTCAACTGTTTTTTTTCCTTATGTTCTATTTACTCAATCATTCCATCATTCTATCATTTTGTCTTTCTATGATTCTATAATTCTCTTATTCCATTTCTCTATTATCATGTTATATCATTACACCGGCTTATTATTCCAATTATCCTTCTATCCTTCTATTTTTACTTTCTATTATCATATTCCATCATTTTATTATTATATTAGCCTATTATTTCATTATTCTATTGTTCTACTATTAAATTATTACATTATCAAATTATTCTATCATTCTGTTATTGCATTATGCGATCTTTTTATCATTCCATTATCCTTTTATCCTATCTTCGCACCAGACAATCTATCAACCAAGTGAAGACTTTATCCTTGAAATCCTCCGGCCTCGCTCGACCTCCCTTGACCTCTGATCTGGCCTCCGTACGGGTCAATCCAGGTCCTATTAAGGTCGATTTTGCCTCCACGATCGACCTGGCTTCGCGCTCTGTCGATGTTCCTCCCCCTCTTCCTCTTCTTCCTCCTCTCCCTCCTTCTCCTCCTTCTTCTCCTCTTCCTCCTCCTCTTCCTCCTTCTCCTCTTCCTACTCCTCTTCCTCCTTCTCCTCCTTCTCCTCTTCCTCCTCCTCTTCCTCCTTCTCCTCCTTCTCCTCCTCTTCCTCCTCCTCCTTCTCCTCTTCCTCTTCCCTCTCTTCCTCCTCCTCTTCCTCCTCCTCTTTCTCCTCTTCCTCTTCCCTCTCTCCCTCCTCCTCTCTCTCCCCCTCCGCTTGACCTGGCCACTGTCGGTGTCGATCGCGAGGGAGAGGAAGTGAGTGTCGATTTTGCGTCGATGGAGAGCAGTAAGTATATGTGGACGGATTTTTGTTTGTATGTCTTTTTTCTTCCTCTTTGTTTTACTTTTTTTTCTCTTTCTCTTTATTTTACTGTTTTCTTCTCTCTTTCTCTTTATTTTATTGTGTCTCTTTCTTTCTTTCTTGCAGTCTGTCTGTGTGTCTGTGTGTCTGTCTGTCTGTCTGTATCTCTCTCTCCCCCCCCCCTCTCTCTCTCTCTCTCTCTCTCTCTCTCTGTCTCTCTCTCTCTCTCTCTCTCTCTCTCTCTCTCTCTCTCTGTCTCTCTCTCTCTCTCTCTCTCTCTCTCTCTCTCTCTCCCTCTCTCTCTCTCTCTCTCTCTCTCTCTCTCTCTCTCTCTCTCTCTATCTATCTATCTATCTATCTCTGCCTCATTCTATATCCATATCTATATCCCTATCTACATTATCAAGCAATATCAATAACTGACAAAAAGATAAAAAAAATCTAAGCATTGATAGAAAAAAAATACAATTTATCACCTACACTTTTTTCAGACCTATAGAAAGAAAATTTTAAAATATACAATGCGCTTTTTTTTTCTTTCTTTCTTAGATGCAACATGTCGCCAGATGGATTTTCATGCCAGTTACGGAGCCTTCAGTCACATTAACGCAACGGAGGCGCGCTGTTCCTATATAGTGGGTTGGCTTGCTTTTCATTCGCGTCGTCTGTAAGCGTATGTGCACGCTCATGCATAAATAATCACTCTTGGATATGAATAATCACACTTATAGATGGATAACTTGTGTCCTGTTTACCTGTTTGTTTGTCGTTATATTTATCTGGAGATATAACTGTATCTATATGTACCTATCTCTATATCCATCTATCTAGACAATAAGGAGACATAAAGAAATAAGTACGCCCCCCCACACACACACATACACGCAAACAAACAAATACGCACATATACAAGCAAAGACGCACACATAAACAAACAAACACAAACAGATGCACACAAACAAACAAACACAAACAAATAAACAAAACAAACACACACGCAATCAACCTCCCCTCTGACGCCACCTCCCCCTCTCTTTCCCCCCACCCCCTCCCCTACCTCTACCTACCCCTCTTCTCCCCCCCAGCTCGCACTGACGAACCTTCCATCAAAACCCAACATGCAAAACACCTGGAGATGCGGTGACCTGAAGAAAACAGCTGATCGAAAGTGCCTGGCGTATGCTTTCGGGATCAGCCATGACAAAACGCTCGTGGATGAGATAGATAGAGTGATGGGGTGTAAGGTAAGTGGTGAGTCCTTTTTTTGTTTATATCTATTTGTTTTTATTGTTTGTTGGGGATTATTGATTGTGTTTGAGCGGTGGTTGTTTTGAAGGAGAGGTAGGGAGGGAGGGAGGTAGGGAGGAAGGGAGGGAAAGAGTGAGTGAGTGAGGGAGAGGGAAGAAAGGTGGGAGGCAGGGAGGGAGAGAGAGTGAGGAGAGAGAGTGAGGGAGAGAGAGGAGGGAGAGAGAGAGGGGGAGGGAGGAGAGAGAGAGAGAGAGAGAGAGAGAGAGAGAGAGAGAGAGAGAGAGAGAGAGAGAGAGAGAGAGAGAGAGAGAGAGAGAGAGAGAGAGAGAATGTATTAGTATGTACGTTATGTACGTTAATGCATTTATGGAAATGCATTCTAGAACTTTTATTTTCAAAAGTATTTATTGTATTTATTCTAGTATTTCTGTTGCTCCCTACGTCACTCGCCCTTTGTTTCTTCCTGCTCTCTCTCTCTCTCTCTCTCTCTCTCTCTCTCTCTCTCTCTCTCTCTCTCTCTCTCTCTCTCTCTCTCTCTATCTCTCTCTCTCTCTCTCTCTCTCCTCCCTCTCCCTCTCCCTCTCCCTCTCCCTCTCCCTCTCCCTCTCCCTCTCCCACTCCCTCTCCCACTCCCTCTCCCTCTCCCTCTCCCTCTCTCTCTATCTCTATCTCCTCCCTCTCTTTCTCCCTCTCTCTATCTCTCTCTCCTCCCTCTTCCTCTCCCTCTCTATCTCTCTCTCTTTCCTCCCTCTCCACAGGTCTTCTCCTCCAACACAGTCCTGCCCATTGATGGTGATGACGTGGATCTCTACAACATCGGCTTCTCCGACACAAGAAGTAGCAACGCGAAGGTAAGAGGAGGAGGAGGAGGAGGAAGAGAGAGAGAGAGAGAGAGAGAGAGAGAGAGAGAGAGAGAGAGAGAGAGAGAGAGAGAGAGAGAGAGAGAGAGAGAGAGAGAGAGAGAGAGAGAGAGAGATACAGACAGACAGACAGATAGCATGTGAGAGAAATTCTAACAGAGAAAGGAAAAGAGAAAAAAAATGATGAAAGGAAAAAAACTGTGAATTTAGAAAAAAAATTAAATAAGAAAATTAGGAAAAAAATACTGATAGATAAAGAGATAGATAAATAGATTTACAGCATTATTCTTATACTCCTAATGTCATATTTATCTTTGCTTTTCAGACCGATCCGTACCTGAAAATTTTCTACAAATTGGGCCAAGCCGACGTCATATCAGGTTTACAGAAAATGGCGGAACTAAAGGAAGGTCCGTATTTTCTTTAAAATCTTTTAAATTTCTATATCACTCTCTAGCTTGTTCATATATATATAAACAAACACACACACGCACACACGATAATGTGTTTATGCATGTAAGTATATAAATATAATCATATACATATCTCTATATAACAATATATGTGTTCGTTGCAGGACCCGCCGAGAATAAACAGAATCAGATAGTGGTGGTAGAGCTTCTCGAATGTCTCCTCCTGCAACCAATGGCCAAGGTGGAAGCGAATTCCCAACCGAAAATTGTTATTATTAGCTGGATGAACAAGTTGATTTGAACCATTTATTTTAGAGCTGGGAGTGAAAGGGGTGGGGGGCGGGGGGAAAGGAGGGAGGGAAGGAGGGAAGGAGGGAGGGAGAGGAGGATGAAGTGAGGGACAGGGAACATAGATTTTTTTTTTTTAAATAGATAGGTGAATCGGTAGAACAACAGATAGATAGATAGATGAATAGACAGATAGATAAGTAGATGAGTGAGTCGATAAATGGGTAGATAGACAGAGAAAGAGAAGAAAGGATAGATAGATACGCAGATACATAGACAGGGGGGAT